GTGTGAAAAGTCCTCCCCGGAGGAGGAAGGAGTGGCAGAGACAGTGTGTGACCAAAACCCCCATTCCCCATCCCCTGTGCTGCTGGGGGGCAGGAGGTGGAGAAACTGGGGGTGAAGTTGAGCCTGGGAAGAATGGAGGGGTGTTTTAAGGTTTAGTTGTTATTGCTCATTATCCTACTCTGATTTGACTGGCAATAAATTAAAGTTGGGTCTGTTTTGCCTGTTCTGGTAACTGGTGAGTGATCTCTCCCTGTCCTTATCGTGACCCACGAGCCTTTCATTCTATTTTCTCTCCCCTGCTCAGCTGAATAGGGGAGTGATGGAGCACCTGGTGTCCAGCCAGGGTCAGACCACCACAGTGTGAAATAGTTGTCTTTGTTCTTGGGAACATTTTTTTGTGAGCACACCTAAGCTATGAATTAGTTATAGACTAAGAGACTTCTCCTTCCTTAGCCAGCCCCTTTGCTGCAGCTTCTTGGCAAACCCCCCTCCCAGGCCACTCTGTTCCTGCAGGGTGAGCACAGCACCTGAGTGCACATATCACCACTCAACAACAGATCCTTTGGATTCGCTTTGCCAAGAAAACAAGGGAATATTGAGAAAACAGCAACAGCCTCATGGGAAGATTGATGCACAGAAAGCAATTCTTGCCAATTTAAGGTAGTTATTGTAGTAGCTGCTGCTTGGCACAGCAGTCAGACCCGATAAGCTGAGGACGTATCAGAGCCACGTCCCCACTAGTAGCCAGGCACTGAAGTACTGTCCATCTGGAACACTTCCCTGTTCAAAGCCTGCTTTCATTAAGTGTGTGATCTCTCTCCAGTGCACACTTTTTTGGCTAGCAAACATGTCAGGAGCACCAGCAGTGGGATCAAATGAGGGTTGACCTGTCAGCCCTGGCTACTGTCAGGTGTGACCAGCAGAAAGGAGCAGAGTTGACCCAGCCCATGAGCTTTGCTGTATCTAATGTCAATCACTTTGTCTTGTCTGTGAGCAACAAGTAGAAAGCAGGAGGAAAGTCACTGTGTGTAATTCTAATTTCATGGAAGTTAAAAATAAGAATAATAAAAACCCCATGCAACCCACAACAGCCTCCACTAACAGAAAGCAAATGTTTCATGAAGCCAGTGTGTCTGTGCTTGGAGCTGCTCTGAATGACTCCCTGAGCTCCCAGTATGCTGCTGCACAACCCTTCCTTGCTGTGGGACCCTCCAGTGGATGGCTTTACAAGTGCAGCTGTCCTGCTGCTGGCATCTAGGAGCTACATTAGCAACAGCGTCTGCCAAGGCCTTTTCTTCTTTCATTTTAAAGTATTTTTAAAGTATATTTTTAGACATCATTAATACTATTTATTCCCCCAGCAGTGGAATGTGCAGCACAGCCTGCTTGCAGCTAGCTTGGCCAAATCCATTCTGCCTGGTACAACCTCATTTATTCCAGTAATCACTGCAGAGCTTCCTGCAGCAAACTATCCTAGTGGAGAACTCTGAAGCATGTAGCCAGCGGAGGAACAGTGCTTTCCATCAGGCTCAGCAGCCCTAATGAGTGCTTCTCACCAAAGCAACATCAACCAGAACAACACTGCTGTGAGGCTGGTTGCTAGAGCGAAGGTTTGATAAGTCAGGTCTCATCCAACGGGAATCACGCTTTCTCAAAAGTGGTTCCATTTGTGAGGGTAAAAGAATGACATTTTGGGAAGAACACACTGGGAACTTTTCAGGAAGAAAGAGAGTTGCTGAGTGGTAAGGAAAGGTGCTGTGTGGAGCACACTACGTCAGAATAGGAGACGCTAAGATGGGAAAACAGGCGTGTGTGTGTTGGTACTATTGCTTTTTGGGGCTGTCACCAGACGTGTCATTGTGCATGAGGCCCAACATTGTTGAGAACTACCAGAGTGCCATTTGTTCAACTGTGCGAGGATGCAAGTTTTAACATCCTTCTAATGTGTGACTCCAAGTGGCTTTGACATACAGCATAGTGACAACCGTAACACTGTTATAGCTCTACGCATATATTACAACAGCCTAAGTACAGATAGGTGGGAGCTCACTGCAAGCTCATTGCTGGGAAATGATTCCTGATGCTTAGCCAAGAAACTTTATAAATCCTCATCTCAGGTCTCCCTGTTACCTTTGTCAGACCACCCCTTGTGTTCTCTCTGTCTCATCAGCACTTGCAGCCTTCAAATACTTGCCAAGTTATCTCCTTGCCACACAGCCCAGTGCCTGGGGCTCACTTCGTGAACCCTTGCGTCTATAACCCTGAACATCAGAAGGCTGAACTCTGTCAATTGCCATCTTTGCAATTGCAATCTTAAGAGGGGAAAAAAAATAATCAGAACCTCCTTCAGAGCAGCTTTAAACTACAAAAGGCTGGAGTGATGGAAAGAATAATGAACAGAACGTATTTTGTTAGCAGAATTTTAATCCTGAAATCAAACAAGATCAAGGACTATTCTGCATGGAGAACACAAGGGCCTTCAGCTTGCTCTCTGTCTTGGTAGAGGGAGCCTGTTAGTGCTCACTGTGATGTTTTTCTCCTAAACCACTCTTTCTCCCTTGCAACTTGCACAGGAAGCTTATGGCGGTGTGACATGGACTGACACAAACTAAGAAAGAAGGCAGGAGACCTCATGTTAATCCTGGCTCTGTTGTTGGCAGGCAGCAGGATTACTTTGCTTGACCAAGTCTACCTTGTGCTATAAAGTGCTGTCTAGGCTAGTAGTTGATTTTGGAGCTTTGTGTAGGAAGATGTTTCCTCTTAGAGGGCTTTTAGTGGAACGAAGCCTCCTCACCTGAGTGAGGGAGCAGGCTGGGATGCTCCTGAAGTCCCTGGTGTGAGCTCAGCCAATGAAGGGCACTAACTGCCAGCAGAGCTGCTTTGTACACAGGAAGGGACCCAGACAGTCTCCCACCTCCTCTTGCTGCTCTGCTCAAGTGTGTCACAACTCAGAACATCTCCGGCAAACACTGACCCTCACACTCATCACTGCCTGGTACTGACAGGCCTCAGAAATCAGGCGACTTGCAGCAGAAGTCTCCCAGTCACCACCATCTGTGGACTCCCGATAGAGCTTTGCAATCCAGCTTCTCAACTCTAACAATTAGATAACAATAAGTATTTACAATTCCACTGTGGGACAGCCACTTGTTATCCTTCCCAGTCACCAACCTGCAAGATCCCTGAGGCCATCAAAGGGATTGAGGCAGAGAAGGAAACATGGAGAAAAGGGCATGAATTTGCAACTCAGAGGTATCTGATAGCCTGTAAATAACAAGTCTGATTCTGTGAAACCACGGGCTGACATCATGTTATACATCAATGCCTGTTGAGGGAAGGCTGTCTGCTTTGTAATAAAAATGTGTGTTGAGAGGGGAGAAAAAAAAACCCCAACCCCAAAACCAGCAAGGATGAAAGCAGGAAGAATGAAACCAGTTGTAGATACAAAGCAGAGAAAATGATTTATAAGTGTTCCTGCGATTTCTGCTTTGTCAAGACTGATCTTTTCGGGTACTCCTTTGTCTCACATGTGTATTTCAAACACAGAAAAGGTTTAGCTGGAAGGAAGCCAGTATCCAGCCTCAGGCAATGATTAGTGAATCCATTTGGAGCAGCACACTTATCTTTGACAGACAGAGAGATTTCCAGGAGTCAGATATATTGGCAGCTGCCAGAATCAGAGACTGGAAATTTATTGCCAAAATCATGCTGAGCCCATCCACCAACAGGTACAGAGATACTGGCATGGAATCTCCAGCCTTATGTTTTCTTGCAGCCAGGTTCATATATCTCATTTTATTATCCTTTGCTCACTCTTTCGCATGTAGAGCTTATCTCTGTATCATTTCTGTGAGGGTACTACCAGGACTGCTGGGGCAGGCAGGCAGACTAACACAGCACTGCACAAAAGTCAAATTGCTATTTGCAAAGCAAGAACCCATGAACTCATTGAGACCTACTTCAAGATGTGAAGCACTGACCCATCCATTCATGTAGGACTGGTGCTATATCTAGAGGCTGATCAGCACTGAGGATGAAAGCAGTTCAGGTGCCCCATCAGTACAGAGGACAGTCCGGGAGGAGCTGACTCGCACATACCTGAAGCCCTGAGGACAGACGCAGGTGTAGCCATTGACTGCATCTACGCAGACAGCTCCATGGTGACACTTGTGGCCCACACAGTCATCATCATCAATTTCGCAGTGTTTCCCGCTGTAGCCCGGCAAGCACTCGCATCTGCAAGACCAGAACACAGCTGTCAATAGCTTGTTTCACCATCCACATCATCAGCACATGCGGGCCCAGCACTAGTCTGATCTGAAATGGAAAGGTGTTAGCAATTACTCCTGGAAAGATCGAGCACAATTCCTGCCATCAGCAATGCTCGAGTCACTCCTGCCTGTCTGCAGCTGAGGTTCTGCAATCTGCTTAAATTCAAGCTGAGCAAAGCAATACTATCCTACTGCTTATCCTCAGCCAAGTCTGCAGAGAAGGATGATCATACAGTGCTCCCCTATTATGTTAAAGATGACAACGTCTTCCCTAACCTGACAGCCTCAATACTCCGCCAGGGCAGTTGCCCTGATGTCTCAGACTGTGATTTCGCCAATGTCTGCAGAGTGTTGAGTGTCTGAGGTTGACCCTACACAGAGCACAGTAAGGTTCCACCTTCCAAATGGAAGCAATTTGCAAGCAAGCCATCAACCTCAGCAGATTTTAAGAAAACCCATCAGTTTTGAGTTCACAACCGGTCTGCCATTCATTTGCAAGGCACAGAATCACAGAATCAACTGGGTTGGAAAAGACCTTTAGGATCATCAAGTCCCACATTTAAATAAACAGTAAATGTTGCTGCATCTATGGCAAGTTGTCATTGAAGCCTGTGTCCTTTACCTGCTGCTACAGGATAATGCCATTCATAGGAACCACACAGTGGGATGTGCCCAAACCTGCAGACATTGGCTTTGTATTTTATTTTATCCAATTCTCCAGTTGTATGAAGGCTGCATCAGCACTTCCATTGTAAGCCTTGCAGAAGTTTATACCCTGACAATAGAAAATACATCCCCAAGTCTGACTTGGAACAGATCTTGTGGGATTGCTGAAGAGCCTCTTTCTGAATGCATAGTGAAGACAATGTTTAGTCATGAACACACTTTAGTCCATAAAACACGTTTTACTCCTCCCAGCTGGATGTTACTGCACATCTGGAAAACAAAAGGCATATCATTTCAACCAAAACAAGGGAAGGGCTACAGTTAACTCCAGCAATAAAAAAGAGGCCCATGCTCTTGCTAGAGCCCCTTGTTTAGACCCAGCATGCTTGCCACTGAGAGCTGGAAGGGAAAAGACATTATAAAGTTGAGGGAGGTGGCATCAGGAGAGTAACTACTGCTCCACCAACCCAATCTGCTGGCCTCCTCCTCCTCCCTGCCAGGAGCCTGGTGGGTCAAGTGCACGAGGAGATTTCTTATTGGAAAACTTCTTCAGAGGAATGGGACACATGGGAGCTTATGAGGAAAGATTTCTACATTGCCAGCAGCAGTCACTGTGCTGATTTGGTTCTGCGTGACAGTGTGCTTTGGGTCCTGGCAGCTTCCCAGCTCATGGGGGCAAAGCAGCAGGTCCTCTGTGTGCTAATGACCAGTGCAGGGCTGCCCTAGCATCACGGCTTCAGCAACCCCCAAGTTCAAGCACTGGGAGGAATGTGACCTTCAGCCTCCATGTCAAAACATGGCTTGTGACTGGCTAAAGGAGGAGGAAACAATGCAAAGCCTATTAACCTATTAGGATGGATAATGTTATGTAGATGCACGTACTTCCTTTCTCCATTTTCCCCATAGGAGAGGCCCCCATCATGACCCTCCGCAGCCAGGGGGTGGTGGATGGTCCAGCCCTGCACACCTGAGTTGCTATTTTACCACTTGGTGGCTCAGGGAATACTGTGATTAACATAACGGAGATAACAAAAGAGAGCAAAAAAAGCAAAACGTGTTCTTCCCCCAAACCATAAGACATGGGTGATATTTTTTGGCAACATTTTAGTCACACCTGCAAGCAAATAATGTCAATCAAAAGACTTCGCGGGGGGAATTGGCAGCATTAATCCTGTTGCTTTTTATTGATCCCCGCAGTCCTAATATAAAGTGATGTAATAACGAATGATGTGCAGTTCCTTATTCAGAGCTGCCATGCATCAATTTTATGATGTGTATTGGCTATCTCCGTAATGACAGAACCACCACTTTTCTCTGCAGGGCTGCATTAAATCAGCATTTTAAGCTGTCAGGTAATAATTCCAAGCTTTAGAATACTAAAGTATATTTATACCATGCTCCAACACCAATACAGTGAATGGAAAAACATGCTCCTTTCCTGAAGCTGTTTTTTTAGAAGTAATTTCATTGTGTTAAATGGTATTTTTTGATGATTTTTGCTTTGTTTTGTTGTCTGGCATACAGAAAGCTGCTCTTCTTCTATAGTAATGGCACAGTAAAGATGCGGAGGCTGGAAGTGAGGAAAGCCACCTGCAATTTTAGCTTCAAAAGCGAAGTGCTCTGCGCAGCCAAACACACACTGAAATAGTCCAGTTTGCTTCCAAGCTTGGCTTTCTCTTTAGAAACATGGAATTCCTGTTGGACCAGTCATCTTGGAGGATTTAGTGTGTCACATCTATGTGTATGCCTGGAGGACAGCAGATGAGAAGCCCAGCCCCAGGAGTGCCTCACCCAGTCTCCTCCTCATGGGATCCTATGGACCCCCCCACTATGGCATGGGAAGGATGGCATGTTAGCTCCATCCCTATCCCACACAGTGCAGGAAATGATGAAGTGAGGATCAGTAAAGTATGATGCAGTACAGAGGTGGCAAAGAGACTTTCATAGTCAAATCCTGGTAAGAGAGCAACTGACACCATTAGATCAGTTATCTCATTTCCCAGTGACAACCTGACAGCAGTACCCTGGAAATCTTGTTTTCTGCTACAGCCTTGTAGTGATGGCAACATTCCCAGGATCAGAGAGCACATGAAACCATGTCTAGTTGTATTTAAAATGTTGGTCTACCTGAGGGGGTTTCCATCTGCATGCATTCAATGTCTGTCGCATTAAAGCTGTGAATCATGGCTTCTACTGCAGGGCCAGAATGGAATTTCCCTCCCCATATCACTAAATAACTTGGCTTTCTATTTTTTCCTGTCTTTGTCATCTTTTCCTCCCTCTGCAAAGTTGCAGAGCAACAAGAGCCGAAGGCACGATGGGCAGACTGGCTGCTACGTGTCCTTGCTGCTATGCTGGTCTTCATTGGTGTGTCCTACTCACGCCCAGGGCACAAACCTGACAAGTGGATGATCAGCTCAAGAACAAGCCTGAATCCTGTTATTAATATTCCCTGCCTCTGGAAGCAGAGGGGAGGACTGATTCATGAGCCTGACTCACTCTGCACCGCACCATTACGTGCTGGATGTGTGGTACATCACAGGTCAGGAGATCAAACTGCTCCAGGCATCAGCAGCAGCACAGGACCAGAGGTGGCTGTTCTCAGTGAGACCCAGCAGCCACCACACATCGCTGCAGGGGCTGCAGGGGGATCTCGGCCCATTTCTGAATGGTTTTGGGGCAAATAAAGTAGGGGATAAAATGCAACACTTGGACAAATCTATGTTCAAGGTTGGCAGGCTCCTTCACCTCCAAGTCTGGCATAAAGGAAAAAAAATGGGAGAGAAGGAATGATATTCCAGATTTTTGGGTAGCATTTGATGAATAGTGGATGAATAATGCAACAAACAGTAGCAGAAAATACTCACAAGTAGTTATTTAGGCTCCTCTTCGGGGGTTAATGGCACCACTGTGAACGCTTTTCTAGCAAGCAAGCAAAAAAGGTGTCTTCTTTATTCAAACTATTTGGGTGGCAGGTGTGTAAATGCTTCCAGAAAGGATAAAATCATTCAGGACCACAGCTGCCTCCATCCCTTCATACATCCAGCAGCACAAGGTAATGTGAATTCCAAGCCTTTGCCTGGTAACATGGTGTAGCTACTGGATTAGCTGAATGACGGATTAACTAGGAATGAAAACTGGAAAGAACATCAGGGACTATTTATGTCCTGGTAACACACCTCTTTATCCAGCCCCTGTGCGTAATTTCAGGAACTTCCCTAATCATTTAATAGTTCCATCTTCCTCAAGAGTTTGAAACGTTTCTGTCTGGAGTGTTTTTTCCCCCAAAGAAAGGCTTGAGTTGTGCAGATGAGTGTCCTGCACAGACCCAGCTGCCCTCCTGAGAGCCAGCAGCTCTAAAGTTTTGCTTCACTTCCTTTTAACTTTATGAAATGTTCTTTGGGCTGCATCAAAAGAAGCGTGACCAGCAGGTCATGGAGGAGATCCGGCCCCTCTGCTCTGCTCTCGTGAGACCCCACTTGCAGCACTGGCTGCATTTCTGGTGTCCCCAACATAAGGAGGACATGGAGCTGTTGGAGCAAGTCCAGAGGAGGCCATAAGGATGATCAGGGGCTGGAGCACCTCCCATATGAAGACAGGCTGAGAAAGTCGGGTCTGTTCAGCCTGGAGAAGAGAAGCTGTGTGGAGACCTCAGAGCAGCTTCCAGTGTCTGAAGGGGCCTACAAGGATGCTGGAGAAGGACCTTCATCAGGGACTGTAGTGATAGGACAAGGGGTGATGGGTTCAAACTGAAACAGGAGAAGTTCAGGTTAGATCTAAGGAAGAAGTTCTTTCCTGTGAGGGTGCTGAGGCACTGACACAGGATGCCCAGAGAAGCTGTGGCTGCCCCATCCCTGGCAGTGTTCAAGGCCAGGCTGGACACAGGGGCTTGGAGCAACCTGCTCTAGTGGAAGGTGTCTCTGCCTGTGGCAGGGGTTGAAACTGGATGATCTTGAGGTCCTTTCCAACCCAAACCATTCTATGATTCTGTGTGTCACTTTACACTATTCTGAAGTGCCACTTGCTTCACAGGACACCCTCTGACCCCAACTGCAGGTTACAAGGAAGATCAAAGAGCGGTGCTGGGTGAGGTGTCCCTTGCCAAATCCCTAGCCCTCCCTCCCAGGAGGGATTCATGAGCACCATGAGCGCACTAGTGTTGCGAAAACAAGCACAGAATGTAGCTCACACTGCACTGAGCTCTCTTGAATTGTCTCCCTTTCTTACTTTGATTCAAAGGTCTTTTCTGGAAAAGCTTTCCACAGGGTTTAACTTTTCAATTGAGTATTTGCAAAATTGTTCTGCACTTGTGTCATCACACAAGTGATGAACACTGCTATATGCACCTCTGAAAACACCCCAAGCCCCACATCTCCAGATGCTTTACTGCCATTTAAAACATGAGGCTTTATTTTGCCCCTGTGAAATGCAAATGCAAACACAGACTTCACAAAATCTAACATGAGCTGAGCGAGGCTTCTCTCTGTGGCCAAGGATGAAGGTGGTTCCTGAGGGAGAGCCACCCAGTTCAGCTGTTTGCTGCTGCTGTCCAGGAAAGGAAGTATGGGGAAAGGAGCCCCACTGAGGCTAAGGCTGGCCTGCGCCAGAGCACCGCAACACCTCCAGCCATCCCGAAGGCAGCTGAAGTGGGGATACAACAGAAGACTCCTGATCTGCAACTTTCTGCTCTGGTCACAAGTTTCTCTTTCACTTCTCAGTGGTTAGAATGGAGAATGGAATTCAACACTGAGCCAGTTTGGGCTGAAGAGAGCTGGGTTACATCAATTAAGGCTTCTGTTACACTGCCTGAATTGATGGATGCACAAAGGAACAGAAGGAAAATGTCCTTAGTTTCTGATGCAGGACAAGATACATTGCAGTAATTGTGGCAAAACTCCTCCTTTTTCCAAGCTCTATTACAGAATACTTTCTCTGCTCTGGTGGTACTTCCATTATTTTCAAGTAAACCACAAAAAACTATAAAAGTCTGTATGGTTGCATTGAAATTAAAATGTGTCACTGTCTGAAGTATAAATAGTCTTGCACTATTTGTGTTAATTTGGATGATTTTTATCCCAAACTCATTGCCAGTTCAGCCCTAGTCAGGCCAATGGATGGATGTACCCAGTGTATGGAGATCAACATACACACACATACCTGGTTCCTTTGTCAAGGGGAAGGCATTTGGACTCATGTTGGCATGGATTCAGATCAGGAACACAGTGGTTAATCACCTCATCACACAGCTCACCTGAGGAAGAAGAAAAGCAATACTGCTGTAACACAGCTTGAACAATCCTGAAGCAGCTTCAGCCATGATGTTCAGGGATGGCAAAGCTCCCTAAATGGGAGCAGCTCAGTAGTTCAGCAGTAAGCAAAACTATTGCTTATGAAGACACATGAGACTTCATTAAATTGTGCTCTTTTGACCTATAGCAACCGTACTGTTCCTATCACATGAATTCGAAAGGCTGGTACAAAATGTACTGACATACGAACTCCACTTGGAGACAAAGGATCAAATGGACAGCTCCTGACCCAAAACCTCTTACATCAAAACAAGAAGTGACACGACAGTGAGGTTGCTTGTTAGACGTCATGGTTAACTCAGAACCATGCAGCTGCTCGCTCACTCACTCTTCCCCTTCCCTCCCCCTCTGTTGCTCCCGGAGGGATGGGGAGGAGAATCAGAGGAATGTAACTCCCACGGGTTGAGATAACAGCACTCCAGTAACTAAGGTATAATACAAACCACTACTGCTACCAATAATAATGATAAGAGGAATAACAAGAGGAGAGGACACAACCGCTCACCATCCACCAACCGATACCCAGCCTGACTCAAGCAGTGATCTGGGCCTTCCGGGTAACTCCCCCCAGTTTCTATACTGGGCATGACGTGCTGTGGTATGGAATACCCCTTTGGCCAGTTTGGGTCAGGTGTCCTGTCTCTGCTTCCTCTCGGCTTCCCCTCCTCCCTGGCAGAGCATGAGACTGAAAAGTCCTTGGTCAGAGTAAACATTACTGAGCAACAACTAAAAACATCGGTGTTACCAGCGTTGTTCCCAGACTGAAAGTCAAAACCACAGCACTGCACCAGCTACTAAGAAGGAGAAAAAATGACTGCTGTAGCTGAACCCAGGACATTAGACCATAACATTTTCACACCGAAACATGTTTTAGCCATAGTTACTGCTCTGCCAAAGAAGCTGGTTGGACATCATTCTGGAAAAGAACAACAACCCACAAGCCTTCCCCCAAAACCTCTGCGACTCTCAATAATAGGAACCAGCTTTAGGACTGCATGTAATTATGGAACATTCACTATTTGTAAGACAAGTACTAGCCCTATTGTGCTCACAGGGGATGATGTCTGTTCAGAAAAGAATCCATCAAATGCGAGCTCAGCTCAGCTGTTTCGAGGTATGGTGTGTTACATGCCATGTACCGCCCTGGATTTGTATACATTTAATAATTAATAGTTCTAGAAGGTTCAAACCCAGATAGTTTATTTAAATACCATCCTTCTTGGAGTCCTAAATTATTAGGTCACACTTCAGTACCCCAGGATCTGAGATTCAGCCAAAGACCACAGGAATCTTTGCCTTCCCAAGAAACCTACCCTGCACCTCCCAAAGCCTTACAGGAAAAGCAAAAGCCAGGTACTCTCAACACGGAAACCCCCACAAGCTACAGTCCAAAGTCCCCTGTGCAGCTATCACAAAACCACATCTGTAGGGTTTCAAGGTTAGACGTATTTTGTGCCTGTACATGATACATACCATCACACAAGCAACAAGCCATGCGGCTAGTGTGGGGAAAAGGGTAATGTGGGAGGTGCTGGAGGGCTGGCAAGGTTTAACAGGGTTTTCATGAAGCTGCAGATCCACCTGCCTTGGGAAAAACTCCATTTCCAAAAATTCTTGTATTTCTAAATGTAGTGGCTACACAGAAACACTTGAATACACAAGCTAAGCAAACCCCAAAGATCACGATTCAGATGGAAAATGCAAATCAGAACCATTCATCTTCTATCAGTGATCTGGCAGGGATGATGGAGAGCACAGTTTCGAGGCTGGCTCTGGTGGTGACAGGTATGGTTTAAGTTTTTAACACCCCCAGCTCACTCCTTCTGCTTATTTCTTCCAAATCTCTGGCCTCCCTTCAGTATGAGCTACATAGCTCTTTATTAGACTCTTCATATTAAAATGGAAATATAAAGTGTATTTGCAAAAATTATTCTTCTTTATTTTTTAGTTGCTGATATATCTGTTTTTGAAAACTGTGAAGCATTAGTGAGAAAGTGGAGCAAGAATACAAGTCCTGGAAGCATGAGAGAGGCTACTACCAGCATAAATGCTGTATTCATGTGCCATACATACCCTCATGTCTTTTTCTGGGCTGGGTTTGGCAATACCAGAGAGGGCTGGCATGGCAATCTGCAGTGGACAGTTAATTGTTCATGGTATCCGTTAAAGGACAACTAATTCCATCTGGAGCCGAGGAACCCCTGGAAGCCACCACTATTAAATACTACCAAGTATTTTTACAGCCCTGAACAAGTCTTGGGCAAATGTAATGAATGTATCCAGGCAGGAAGGGGGACATGCCAAGGAAATTGAATACTGCAGATCCATGGGAACCAAGGAAACCCCATTCACTGGACTTGACATTTGCCACTGTACTTTTTGTTACTCCTCAAAAGCAACTAAAGACATTCAAGTCTTACAAACATGAACACAGCTGTCATTGGGGACAGCTATTAGCACACTTTTCAGGTGGCAGAACTGGAGACAGGTCTATTTACTTAGCAATCCCCAAACCCACGGCCCATCAACTCTCCCAAATGCTAACAAAGTGACTCCCTTGGCCTTTGGGCATGAACATGAGCAGGTCAGAACTTGCTGGATAACTGCCAGTTCATCATCCTGGTATTCCTCATGTCCCCTGTGTGCTTTGAACCTTATGTGAAAATAAACATGGAAAAAAGCAACTGACTGGTAACATTAAAAGGACTCAGTGATCTAAAGCTGGAAGTATTTTTGGAAGACCATTTAATAAGTGTGGACAGAAGCCTTAAACCATCACCAAAAATGGTCAATACATACTTTTGAAGTTTCTTTTTCTTTTTTTATTTGGTTGTTTTGAAAAAAAGGGAACAGGCTTAAAAAAAAGTAAGAACAGTTTCATAAACTCTCAAAGGAAATCGTAATTCTTCTTAAAGTATTCTCCTCAAAAGCCTTGACAAGTGCTTAGAGATCCAGTAAAAATCTCCCCAAATGTCAAATATTATGACTCACTGTGTCATTCTGAAGGCACCACTATCAAAACGTAGGAGAATTCTAGGCTAGGTACCAAACACAGCATCCAACAAATTTATCATTTTTCATGCAAAACTTGGAACATTTAAGGATCCTTCCTGTTATTTTTCCCATCTATCACTCATTAGGGAGCTCACTTGGGAATGCCTTGCAACTAGAGCAGCCTCATCTCAGGAAGAAAATTCTACTTGATAGATGATTTCAGGCTCCCCCAGTGTTCACTGGATGCTGCAGAAAGCATGCCAGGGAAATAAAACACTTTCTGCAAAGCAAAACCCAAGGCACCAGCTACACAAAGACTTTTCTCCTATTTTATTTACTCAGAGAATATCTGGGCCAAAAAAATCTGCCCTCAGACCTGGAAGTGCAATAGTCATTGGCCACTTCAATGTCAGTATCTGAGGAAAAATCTGATCCTCTTGTTTTTTTTTCTTGGAGTGACACAGGGCTGCTTTTCTTTGCAGCAGTTAAAGGTTCAGTTGAAATTCCTCATTGGATAGCTATGTGAACCTAAAACCAAACTGGACATTAATCTTAGGCCAACCTCTAGTAGCACTGATTCTCTCTGTGGAAGATATCTGATCACTGTAAAAAAACCCAGAAAACTTCAGTGTAAAGCTTTTCCAAAGGTAGAAAACAACCCAACCTCCCCGTTTTCCTCTCTCCCACATATTCTCAAATCAGACCTCCAACTTGGGTACACAAGGGTTTCTGAAGTGGCTACGTAAAAGTCAGCAAAATGACAACTCTATCTCTTTTCTAATCAGTTAAGCATTTTTTAGTCCCAAGTAGCGTTTTTCGCTCTTACTCTCTTGTTCAAGGCCAGGCTGGACAGAGCCTTGGGTGACATGGTCTAGTGTGAGGTGTCCCTGGCCATGGCAGGGGGTTGGAACTGGATGATCTTAAGGTCCTTTGCAACCCAAACCATTCTATCATTTTATGATTCATCAAAGCCCAAGAAAATAGATTAACATACAGTGCACCCCACCAAAGAACGGGTTAAGACTAGGTCAGATTCACAAGAGAAAACTAGCTTATGCTGTCAGATTTTACTCTTCTTAATAGCTGGATGTATTAGGTCAATAATGTTGTGAGGTATGTAGAACTGAGGTATGACATGCAGAGGGTACCTTTATAAAGAGAGGTACATCCTCAGCTCAGTGGGCACTGCATTTCAACCTTCTTAAGGCTGGTGGCAGTGTGCTGGTCATTAGTGCTTCTTTAGGAGAAGGAAGCATTAGAAACATGAAGGAAGCAGACTGATCTGCCACAAAAAATGCAACTCTCAGGTTAGAACCAAGTTGTGCTGGCAGGTGGAACACTACAGGTGGGTCTCCCAGAAAAATAAACAGGAGAGAGAAAAGCCCCCAGACAGCAGTAAAGCTCTTTTGCCCCTCTGAGCCTACCTTCCTTGTCCCCTTCACCAGCACTGGTCGTTGCTTTTAAAAGAACACAGCAAAACATTTTTTTTGTGTGTCATGCAACGTTTTCCTAGTCTTATTTTGTCAGCAAAATCATGAATTTCATGGGGCTTTCACATTCACCTCTCACAGGACTCACTGCTTATGAAGAGCTGCCAAGAAACGTGCTTGGGCTCTTCTGTAGCCTTCTGCATGTCTCAGAAGGAAGCTAAAACAACAATAGAGCAATAAAGATGACTTTTACACACAGTTGAATAATCATCTTTCTTTTTTCCGTTAGGTGCTGTCATGAGAGCTATTTATTCTATGCCACATTAGACTTTTAAAACCAGGGTTCAACTTACACTATTTCTCCTTAATCAGTAAAAGAGAGATTGGATGCAGTGATCATATTTTACTTAGTTATCTGTAAGTAAAACTGCAGTTCTGAAAAGACAACCTAGACCACCACTTTACAACCAATGAGTTCAATGGCTTTTCCTTTGTTTCACATGTCAGTTGGGTGATAC